CCTTAGCTGTGTTTCTACAAAGATTATTAAATGCACAAAGAAAGTTTGATATGCAAAGTTAAATAAGTTTTATATTATTATATAGATCTGAAAAACATATTAGACCACAAATATTAGTGTAAATTCAAGACATCTTTATAAAAGGAGTTACCCCTAGCAAGAGTATAAAACGAAAGGAAATAAAATGCGTCAACTTAAGCAAAAGGACAACCAAATAAGCGAGAGAAAAAGTGGTAAAGTGAGGGAGAAGTTGCATTAATGCAGCTGCAACTTATCGCACATAAAATGCAATCAACGCATTACGAACACTTTCACTCTTGATAGCGAGGCACAGTGTAACTATGGGGAATTCCGAACAACTTAATACAAGAAAATACCATCTTTAACAGAGATGATATGTGTGAATTCCAATTATTTATCACAGCACACACTCCCAAGGATAGCAAACATTTTTTTTATTTGATAAATACCCATATTCTTTAACGACATTTTAAATGGCTGCCAAATAATTTTGAACATTCGATTTGTTTACTCCCCAATCACGTAACACTTACGTGTTTCTTGGACTTTATAAACACACAGTCTTTGCGATTGAATGATATCATCGCCGTTTGATCACGACCCACTGTGCGGCACGACTTTTGATGGACACTGTGTGCGTTTGGGTATTCAAAAATCTTTGGCATGTGCATTAAAATGACAAAGAAATTGAAAAGGAAATAAATAAAGAAAGCGTTTTTAGCGCTAAGTGCCCAAGTAGCCTGCACTCAAAATGCACTTGAAGGAAGGTCTGAAAACAATGTTGATAAAAGCCAAGCTGCAGCAACATCCCCAAGAATTATATTCGGAAAAGACAACAATAAGTGTTGTTTTTTTGTGTGAATGGGAACACACTGTAAAAGCAGGAAAAAATCGAGAAAGAAATAACAGCAGCAGCCGCATCCGAAAGACCTAATAAACGCAGCCAAATGAATTATGTGCCTGCCCATCAACTTTGGAAAACAGCAACATGCAATGCAACAAAGACGGCGCACAGCTGCGGCTAAGATAATAGCATCCATAAAGCCATAAATTTCGGGGCTTATAAATGCGTATAGATGCCCGATTATACGCTATTAGAGCGCTAAATCGGGCATACAATATGATTCTTGGTTTAAATGCATTTTCAACACACCTTGAAATTGAAAGAAAATTGCCTGAAATTTGAATACGTAAAATTTCATTTAATAACCTATGGCTTTTGAAAAAAAAATCGAAACAAAAATTACTCATTGATGTATTAATCAAAATGCTAAAATGTATACCGTCATTGTTTATCAAGTATGCAAGCCCGATAAACCATAAAAACACATTGCATATCTCCTTCACATCGGGGCACTCAAAATGCGGGGCTTTGCGGCAATTAACACTGACACTCCCACGCAGAACCCGAAGTGAAATAAAAACAAAAACCCCAGAAGAATGGGAAAGAAACACAGAAACCAGAGACGTAAACGAAAGACAAACAAAAGCAACGCTTTGTATGTGGGTGTGGCAACTCTGTCTGCTGGCTGCTTGACATAAGCAAATGGCAACAATGTGCCACTCACATGCGATAAGCAATAATCCTGAAAGCAATCGACGGATCCCTAATACCCTAAATAGGATAGTTTCTAAGGATAACCACAAGAATATTAATTCATCATGGTTATTATATAAAGCAATTGCTTTTAAATACTTGAAAATAACTTTAGGGTTAATCTTGATATAAAAATAGAATACTATTATAATATCTATAAAATTCCTCAACTTACGAAAGTGTTATCACACTATAAATATTCCCCACAAAGGAAAACCACTGTATTACTCTTAGACTTAGTCACCAGATAGCAATTTCAGCAATATGAATCGAAGTCCCCGTGGGATAAACGAGTTTGCTTACGATAATTCCAATACCGTCGTAGTATGCAACCTTCATTGAGAAAATAAAAAGAGTACGGAATTGTTTATCGTATTCGGCTTTTTTTTTCAATTTTTTGTTGATCTCAAGCAGTAGCATTCCGTATTAGTCATCGCAGCATTCAACAACAATAGTGGAATAACGAAAACAGATTTCAGCTTTCAAGTGTCAATCAGCACAGTGATTGTTCCCCGCCCACACAACTCCCATCCCATTATATATGCCGTTTTCCAGTATTTATCCTGATCTCGTTCGGGATCTGCGTCTTGCAAATTGGTCCGTTGGCCAAGCAGATTCATTGGAGTGCCGAGCACAATGGACCGTATTGTTCGTCCGATTAACGCCAAACACGCGTGCGACAGGAGCTGCCTTAAATGGTACACTTTAAACAAGATTGGGTGACTTAAGTGGATAAGATTAAGATAAAAGATCATACCAAGCTTCAGTTAAACATTGGATCCTAAAATCTGAGATTCTGAAAACTTGAGTCAATCCAAAATTCCTCAATCTTTCTCCCTGGAACTTTCAAACCCCATTTCTTTATGCCTGAACAAATTCCGTTCTTTCCCCTCCGTTGGCAATTGCAATCAAGCAAAGTCTTTTTTATGTCTTCCAGCATATACGGATTTTTATGGCCTGCACTCGAAGGCAATTGCAGCGTGGGCGTTTATTATTTCTCTCTTTTCGGTTTTGGAATTGCCGGGAATTACGATCTCAGCGAAAACTCAAACCCAGAGCGGGTTACAAGAAGTCAGGCGAGCAAGAAATCAGCAAGAAACAATTGTAAACTATTAAATGTGTGCATAAAATTGAACGAAAATTGCTCGACTCTGGTTGCCCCTTTGAACCAAGGTGACGAATGCATAGTGGGTCAAAAAAGGGAGGATTACTTAGATCTTAGTTACTAAAAATATAAAAAAATAGAGTGCTTTTTTAACACGCATTGTTATAGTAAAAGTAATCTGAAAGGGTTTTTATTTTTAAACTAACATGGCAGATATGATATTCTTAAGTTTTAACCCATAGTTTTAACCTTCAGTTAAATGGAAAGGTTGTAACTTAAGTTCCTAACCCAATTCCATTAACAAAATTGGATAGAAATACATCTAACCAATTATTCCCTTAAGATCAGAAGTTATCGATTAACAAACCTCACTAACCGATCCGATAGACATACTTTCTGTGGTTCGTTCAGAAATTCCTACTTTTAACCCCTACTTTAAGCCCACTGTGCGACTTGTCTCGGGTTGAGAGCAGATATCTGAATCTGAATTGAAGCTGCGGCCGAGCTGAGACGTAGTTTTTCACGCTCTCCCGGTGACGGGGCTTGTATATGTGCCTTGGCCTGTGATTTTTATTTTTAGTTTAAGCAGAAACTGGTTTTCCATGGCATTCCCTCCACTGCCCCCCTTCATAAAAAATGGGGTGGCAGCAGAGCGACTTTTACGTGGTGTCATGGTATGGAAATAAATGCACGTTATATGCTAACGTTATAACGCTGGCCTTGCCCAAATATTATTCTCGCGAAATTCACGAGAAATATTCGTCAAGTGAAAGATGGTTTGCTGCCGCCGTCTATTTTTTTTTTTTGTGTTTGCATGTTTTTTGCGATTTTTGGTTTGTTTAGTATTAGTCACTGTGGGAGGATGGGCAGCGTCGTTACCTGCGGCATTGAACTTGCGTTTTTCGACGCATGCGCTGCTGTTTTTAATGATTTTGTTCTTGGTTTTGCAATTGCAGAGGGCACCACCCAAAAGAGGGCTTTTTTTTGTAGATATTTTGAGGGAAATTCTCCCGCTGCGATAAGAAATATTTGCCTACTTTATCAAGTGGGTAATTACCAAAATAAATTGTCTACAGTGGAATTCGCCGATAGTGGCTTTTGGTTTATCTGGTATCATGTCTCTTTATGGTACAAACTCTATTATTAATTATCATATTTAGTTGTTTTATAATTTCCTAATTGATGTACATATATGCATTTTTACTTTATTTAACCACTGCATTCTACAAAATACACGAATCTAAATTAGAGTATCTATTGTATTTACTTTATCATGTTCATTGAATCTAATCTATCAAAATCGTAACTATCAAGAGCTGGTTTTCTATCAACATTTTTCATCAAAGTCACTTAAAAAACGAATAAAAATATATTCAAAAAAAACCTTTATTTTTAAAGAATACTTTAATTTTGCCTGATAAGGTTTTTTTACTGGGAGAGCGGGAGATAAGAGATGCGGGAAAGGGAAACTTGTTTGCTCATCTGCTGGCCCCCTCCCACCCACAACCACGCACGCGCCCCCTCTCCCTTGCACTCGAACGTGCAGCACCGGGCGCAGCGCATTAACCGTTAGCTGGCGATGCTTTGCCTCTGCTTCTCTCGCTCTTCATAGTCTCTTTTCAGGGGCGGGTCAAAGGGGATTGTTTCTTGGGGGAAAGAAGGCTAGGTATGTCGTTATCAACAAAATATACTAACTTTATATACTATTCTTGCTGCTCTTACGATTTTCTTTGTAAACAACTCGTAATTATTATGACCATTTCCTAGTTCAACATAAAATCTAAAGAATGTATCTGGAGATATTTACCAGCTCTTAAACTTGTTTTTAAATTAAATTAAATTTTCCACCCATTTTGCATTTTTGAAATTTAACGGATCTTCCTCCTTTGTTCTTATCCCGTTGCTTTTACTAATTAGGAAAATGATTCAAAATAGTTTGACCCCTCCTAGAATTCAACTTCAGTTCCGCCCCTGCTTTCCTCCTGCTCCTTCCTCTTCTTCTTCTTTTGAGTCCACTTCATGGGGGGTTGCTTTGCACTGTTGAAGGCCAGCGCCGCAGTCGCGGTCGGCGTCGCTGCTCCCCATTGTCAACGCCGACGCCCACATGCACCGCTTAACGGTTTTCTTCCTGCTCCTCTTGCGTGTGTGCGTGAGTCATTCAATTTGAATTATAATAATTTGCCACCTTTTTTCCTATTGATTGAATATTGCCATCGCCATCGCTATTGCCATTGCCCCAACAATTATCTCTTTTCTCGCTACTTTTTGTCATCTCACCTCTATGAATTTCTCCTTGATCTCGGCCTTTTCATCAATGGACAGCGTTTTTGTGAATTTGTTTAGTGTTGCCATTTTCGCTGTGTGTGCTTTTCTTCTTGACTTTCTTAATTATTTATAACTGCCGCAGCCGATTGGTTATTATTTTAAATAAATTATGCGTTTATTATCAATTTCACTTTGTCGCCGTTTTCGCAGTCGGCGTTTTTTCTCCTTTCTTATTCTCTCGTCTTTTTTAACCGCGCGCTCCTTTTTCTATATGTATCTGTGTACTTGTGCGTTGGTGTGTTAATTTTCTTAAATTTCCTTTGATTATTTCTTAATTTGCACCCACACACGTTCGTTTGTGTTTGTGATTTGGTTTGTTACTGGCTTTCTTACCAAAAAAAAAATGGTTGGTTTTAAAACCTCTTTGTTTATTTACAACTTCAACCGAGAAAGCTTTGTTTTCGAGCGTCCTGATTCGTAATCGACCGGCTACTGTGCGTGCGAGGCGTTTTTGTTAACAATATTTAGCAATTTTGTTAGGGCGACGCGACGAAGTGGGTGAACAAAACAACAATGCGCACTAGAGGTGCAGCAACTTCGATGGAGACATTGATCTATCGATGTTTTCTTCATTTTGCAACCATCGCTGCTTAATCGTGACTATCGATGCTTCCACATCACTAAAATGTTGTTCTAACAGAAAATGTTAACACAGTGCTGCCAATCTAGCAATTTTCCCACTGGATCTAGCTTTTCTACTCGCTAATGAGGGATGTAAAATAGCTATGTACATGGAGTTAGCAGTGCAACTTTTTATTTTCAAACTTTTTGCAACCCATGGCAACTCTGTTACATTTTAGTATCACCAGTTCGAAATATTTACTTTGTAATCGAATTTAAAAGTTTGTTCTTAGTTATTCTTAACTTTTCAATTATTTTAAATATTGAAAACTTTCGAAAAATTTTATAACTGCTCCTTGCAGTTTGAAAATTTAACCGGAACCATTTAGGGTCGTTGTGTTTTTGTAGAATTCCACAATTCAAAAATTCAGATTTATCAGAATATGTTTTGAAAAAATGATTGCGATTGTTAGCTTAGGATGTTAGCTGCTCAAACAGTCGGTCTTTTAGCTGTACGCCTTGATTTGGCTAAACTACGATTGAAAAACCGTTAAAAAATGGGTGTTTTTCACCAAAATCTGAGTCCCAAAAAAAGATGATGCAACCCCTTACAAAAAATGAACAAATGGGTCAAAAAATAAATTTCCTTTAAAATGATAGGGATTGTTAGCTGCTCAAAACTGTCGGTCTTTTGCCTGTACGTCTTTATTTGGCTAAACTACGATTGAAAAACCGTTAAGAAATGAGTATTTTTGACCAAAATCTGAATCGCAAAAAAAGATGATTACAAAAAATGAAAAAATGGGTCAAAAAATAAATTTCCTTTAAAATGATAGGGATTGTTAGCTGCTCAAAACTGCCGGTCTTTTGCCTGTACGTCTTTATTTGGCTAAACTACGATTGAAAACCCGTTAAAAAATGATTTTTTTTGACCAAAATCTGAATTACAAAAAATGAAAAAAATGGGTCAAAAAATAAATTTCCTTTAAAATGATTGGAATTGTTAGCTTAGTATGTTAGCTGCTCAAAACTGTCGGTCTTTTAGCTGTACGTCTTGATTTGGCTAAGATACGATTGAAAAACCGTTAAAAATGAGTATTTTTGACCAAAATCTGAATCCCAAAAAAAGATGATGCTACTCCTTACAAAAAATGAAAAAATGGGTCAAAAAATAAAATTCCTTTAAAATTATAGGGATTGTTAGCTAAGGATGTTAGCTGCTCAAAACTGTCGGTCTTTTGGATGTACGTCTTGATTTGGCTAAACTACGATTGAAAAACCATTAAGAAATGAGTATTTTTGACCAAAATCTGGATCGCAAAAAAAGATGATTACAAAAAATGAAAAAATGGGTCAAAAAATAAATTTCCTTTAAAATGATAGGGATTGTTAGCTGCTCAAAACTGCCGGTCTTTTGCCTGTACGTCTTTATTTGGCTAAACTACGATTGAAAAACCGTTAAAAAATGAGTATTTTTGACCAAAATCTGAATCCCAAAAAAAGACGATGACAACCCCTTACAAAAAATGAAAAACTGGGTCAAAAAATAAATTTCCTTTAAAATGATTGGAATTGTTAGCTTAGTATGTTAGCTGCTCAAAACTGTCGGTCTTTTAGCTGTACGTCTTGATTTGGCTAAGATACGATTGAAAAACCGTTAAAAATGAGTATTTTTGACCAAAATCTGAATCCCAAAAAAAGATGATGCTACTCCTTACAAAAAATTAAAAAATGGGTCAAAAAATAAAATTCCTTTAAAATGATAGGGATTGTTAGCTTATGATGTTAGCTGCTCAAAACTGTCGGTCTTTTGGCTGTACGTCTTGATTTGGCTAAACTACGATTGAAAAACCGTTAAAAAGTGAGTACCAAAATCTGACTCCCAAAAAATGATGCCCTTAAAAAATATGAAAAAGTGGGTCATTAAAAATATAGTACCTATATGCTCATAAAATGTACAATTTTGCCAAAGATGACCAAAACAGTTGGGAACACCCGCTGCAATATGTTGTAGGATGTGCCTTAAAAGTTCAGATAGCTGTTGAACTATTGTATTCGACACAGTATCAGACATTAGACACAGTGAAATATTCAACTTTCTAGTTTTTTGCGAAGCTAACAAGCGTTCATCCAAATTCACTCAGGGGATCTGCTGTTTCTTTAAACGGATTTGGTCGATGTGAATACTAGATTTTAAAATTAAAACAACGTTGTTTATATCGGGGCTTGCCCATCGCTAGAAATGTTAACTTCGGACATGGCTGATTCACCCTTCTGACTTAGCCAAGATATCCTCCCGCCATAGCGGATACACCATCCTGATGACTTAAAAACGCAGTGTGGCCGAATCGTATTTTGCAGGATTTTTCGAATGACCGATATCGATTTCGATAGGCGCTGATTGTAGTAGGACTTTTTTAGTGCCAACAAAAATGCCCGTGCAATTTGGTTAAATAGGATTATCGGGACAAATAACGAAAACATTGCGGCCGAAGTGCGAAAATTGTGCACTGCGAAACGGATTCCACGAGCCCGAAACGAAACCGGCGAGGCGCAGCTCCCCAGCGAGCCAATCCATGCGAGAGAACAGATCCAGTGGGCAGTCCATCAATCGCCGCGGAAAAGTCATCAATTATATTGGCCATTCCATTGTAGGATTCTAGGATTGTAGGGGCCATGAAGAGCGTGCTGATGGTGGCCGAGAAGCCCTCGCTGGCGGCATCGCTAGCGGGGATTCTCTCGAACGGACGCTGCACGGCCAAGCGGGGTGAGTCCAGCTGGCCGGCTAATCCCCACAAGTCCATGAATAATCCATTCCCAATCCCCTCCAGGCACTGGCAATGGATGCTCCACGCACGAGTGGACCGGCAACTTCCGGAACGAGGGCAGCGTCCACTTCCGCATGACCTCCGTCTGTGGCCATGTCATGTCGCTGGACTTTATAAGCAAATACAACTCGTGGGACAAAGTGGATCCCGTGGAGCTCTTTGGCTGTCCCACCGAGAAGAAGGAGACGAATCCCAAGCAGCACATGCGCACCTTTCTGGCCCTTGAGGCGCGAGGCTGCGACTACTTGGTCCTGTGGCTGGATTGCGACAAGGAGGGCGAGAACATCTGCTTCGAGGTGATGGACGCCGTTCAGCATGTCATCCACAATGTGTACAGCAAGCAGGTTACGTACCGTGCCCACTTCTCGGCCATCACGGACAAGGACATCAAGGGTGCCATGGAGACGCTGGGGCATCCCAACGAGAACGAGGCCAAGTCTGTGGACGCGCGACAGGAGTTGGATTTGCGCATTGGCTGCGCCTTCACCCGCTTCCAGACAAAGTTCTTCCAGGATCGCTACGGCGACCTGGACTCCTCGCTCATCTCCTACGGTCCCTGCCAGACGCCCACGCTGGGTTTCTGCGTGAAGCGGCACGATGACATCCAGACCTTCAAGCCGGAGAGCTTTTGGCACCTGCAGCTGCTCGCCGGCCAGCCGGAATTCACACTGGAATGGGCACGTGGCCGGGTCTTCAAGAAGGACATCGCCATCATGCTGCTGAATCGCGTCAAGGAGCACAAGGAGGCCACGTAAGATTGTCGGTCACTAAGGGGCGCCAAATTATCCATCTTTAGGGCACATCTCTGCTTGATTAGCGAGTCTATATATAAGCATGCATTCATGCTTTTCGCGTCTGTTTCTACCCACGTCAGACTCTTTTTTGCCTTCCAAATCTGATGACCACATCATCCGCTTGTCATAGAAACGATCATGCTGAATTAGCATAATTTCTTTGGTCTCAAAGACAAATGCAAACAAATCGATGTACTGATGATTTAAGCAATTTACGAACAAGAGAATATCTTCTTTATACTTTATACTTAACAGCAAGGGAAGATGGAAATACTAGATACCAGGGTATTTCCTAACTAAGCTTAACTTAACCATTTATTAACCAATGCCCCTTTCCTTCTTTCAGCGTGGAGAGCGTTGGCAGCAAGGAGGCTTTCAAGAGTAAACCGCAGGCCCTAAACACCGTAGAGCTGATGCGGATCTGCAGCTCCGGGCTGGGCATCGGTCCCTTCCAGGCGATGCAAATTGCGGAGCGGCTGTACACGCAGGGCTACATCAGCTATCCGCGAACGGAAACCAATCAGTATCCGACTAACTTCGATCTGCCGGCTGTGCTGCACGTGCTCAAGCCATCGGGGGAATTCGGCGAAGAGGCGCGCGCCATCCTGGGCGACATGCAGACGCCGCGGAAGGGCAAAGATGCGGGCGACCATCCACCGATTACGCCGATGAAACTAGGCAACCGCAGTGATTTCGATCGCGACACCTGGCGCGTCTACGACTTTATCTGCCGGCATTTTATGGGCACGGTGTCCAGGGATCTGAAGTATCGCGTGACGACGGCCAAACTGCGCGTGGGCATGGAGACCTTCAGCTGCACTGCCAATGTGTTAATGGATCCCGGTTTCACAAAGGTAATGACCTGGCAGGCCTTCGGACGGGATGAGCCGATGCCGCCGTTTGTCCAGGGCACCACGGTGGCCATCAACGATGTGCGACTGACCGAAAGCCAGACGGGGCCGCCCGACTACCTCACCGAATCGGAGCTGATCACGCTGATGGAGCAGCATGGCATTGGCACGGATGCCTCCATTCCGGTGCACATCAACAACATCTGCCAGCGCAACTATGTGCATATTGAAAATGGACGCAAGTTGATACCCACGACGCTGGGCATTGTCCTGGTCCACGGCTATCAGAAGATCGATCCCGAACTGGTGCTGCCCACCATGCGAACGGAGGTGGAGCGCATGCTAACGCTAATTGCCCAGGGTTCGGCCGATTTCCAGGATGTGCTGCGTCACGCCATCCAGATCTTCAAGCTGAAGTTCATGTACTTTGTGAAGAACATAGCCAATATGGACGCTCTGTTCGAGGTCTCCTTCTCACCGCTGGCCGAGTCGGGCAAGGCGCACTCGCGCTGTGGCAAGTGTAGGCGCTACATGAAGTACATACAGGTGAGCCGTCCATATTTGACCACCATGCTCCCATATAGTAACCTCTCAACCCTGCAATTTCAGACGAAACCCGCAAGGTTACACTGCTCCCATTGCGATGAGACGTATGCCCTGCCCATTGGCAATGTAAAGGTGTATCGGGAATTCAAGTGCCCGCTGGATGACTTCGAACTGCTGGCCTTCTCAACCGGCGTCAAAGGGCGGTCGTATCCCTTCTGCCCGTACTGCTACAATCATCCGCCATTTAGCGACATGCCCCACTTGGGGGGCTGCAACACCTGCACGCACGCCACCTGCCCACACTCCCTAAACACGCTGGGCATCTCCAGCTGTGTGGAGTGCCCCACCGGGGTCCTGGTGCTCGACTGCACGCTGGCGCCCACCTGGAAGCTTGGCTGCAATCGCTGCGACGTAATCATCAACTGTTTCAAGGGAGCCACCAAGATCACAGTGGAAGGTGGGTCAAGATCAACAGAGATTCTGAAATGTAGTACAATTTGTATTTCCTCGTTTTTGCAGAGGCCAAGTGCCAGGAGTGTGGTGCCCAGCAGGTGAACGTGGTCTACAAGTCCGACAAGAGCAAGTTCAAGGACGGTAGCGAGGAGAAGAGCGGCTGCATCTTCTGCTCCACGGACTTCTCCCACCTGGTTGAGAAGCATCGGGCGGTGGCATCGAGACCCGTTCGTAGTGGCGGCGGATCGCGGGGCGGCAAGGTTGGTCGTGGGGGCGGAGGAGTTGGTGGACCGGCTGGTGCCGCTGGAGGAGCGGTAACGGCAGGCGGCGGACCTGGTCCGGGGGGCGGTGGGCGTGGCGGACGCGGTGGTCGACAGCCCAAGGATAAGATGGCCCAGCTGGCGGCGTATTTCGTTTGAGGACTCTGGATTGCATTTACAACAACAAAAACTCGAGAGAAAACACAAAGCCGAATAAAAGAAACGAAATTTGTATAAAGAAAGTTGCTTATTTTTGGATTGAGGGTTTCAGTTTGGAATAAGTTTTGCTTAAAAGCTTCTAAATTGGAAGTGCTGTGAAAAAAAAATTTATCCGAGGTGCCATATGAATTCAGCGCTAAACTATAAGATCTAAAAATTTAATTTTTTCTTATCAAGTTTGAACAATTTTCTTCTTCAGAATCTTGAATATTTATTTTTGCTATTATGATATATGGAAACTGTTTCATAAAATTGTATATAAAGATATATATGTGTATGTATATTTAATTTCTCTAAAACCTAACTTTAACTCATTTGAAATTGAATAAATCAGCAAGCAAAGAGACCCCTATTTATTTTAATGACTTAGGATTTTTATATCAGATCCAAGGGTTGTTTTTGTGAAAATGTCCCATGATTCACACTATTGTATGTATACATACATTTGTATCTATATACATTCCATATTTTCATGGTATTTTAAACTATTGTTTTATATTATAAAAAGACTGTTTTGGGTTGTTGTTTGTGTTGGAAATGTGCGTTTTTAGAAAATTCTAGGTCTTGGCGTTTAATATTTATTTATTGGATATTAATAAATTACAGAAATTATAGGTACAAACATTTAACTAAAATTCTTTACCTTTTCAACATAAAATATTTATCCCTTTAAAATAAAAATGTTATTTTGAAAAAAAAACTAAGAATTTCAATATCAAATAGTTTAAACACCCTTTAAATTATACATATGTATGTATGTATAAAAATAAAAAAATGCGCATTGGGAACTAATTTAATTTTTAAGGGCTTGTGGTTACATCAAGGGTTAAGGTGCTGACATCAGTCTACATCCGATTTCATCAGCCCAATTCATTCCAGGAACTTTCCAGATGCACGCACACCGACATGCAGGTGCAGAAATGTACATATACATATATGTACATATGAACGGGTGGGGAAATTGGATGACTGCCGTAATAAAATGCGTACGTGTGTGGAGCTCTCTGTCTAAAGGCTGTTGACCAAAGCGAAGACAAATCTTCCTAGCGGCGTCAAAACAAACAAAGGTCGTTTAACTCGCCAAACAAAGAGCGTCACAAGATGTCCAGGCATATACATACAAATGTACATAGCTAGAATACACACACATATATACACTTACGAACAGCTGCGACCAGTGCTGGAAAGCGATAACTCAATTATCGATAGCTCTGCCATCCCATCCAATTGGAGCAAGCGAAACGGAAGATCTGCTCTAATGCACTACGCATTTCGCTTTCAATGCCAAATTTTACATATTGCAACTAGCAAATTGATTGTCCTTCATTGTCCACATACTCTTGGCAATGCCAAATCCTAGTCTTGGCCACTTAGACAATCGAAATACCCCTATTAAAATCTAAACAAAGCCAAATAAATCGAACAACTACCCGAGAGTGAGCAGGACAGCAGGCGGCGACTTTCCAGTCAAAGTGCCTATAAATACCAGTGTGTAGCTCTGTAACGGGGCACTAGCTGTGGAAAAATAGTAGAGAGCGGACGTGAACGGAAAAGCAAAAATAAGAAGCAAGTTTTTGAACATCAAAAAGTTTTTTTTATTCAAAAAGTGCAGAACAATACAATTTTGAGAACGAAATTTGGTTTTTCTTGTGCGAAAAAGGTTAATAAGGTGAGTTGAATTGGACAGGAATCTCGTAATATTTCTTCGGTGCAGTCAAAATGGCGACTACGCGAGTAAAGTGCAGGGAAAAAAAAGAAAATGGTGCTTGTGTGTGTGTGTGTGTGTATGCGCAGTTCCAGGGGGCATTTTTTCTTCCAATAAAATTAGAGATTAGTCACTAAAACTAAATCGCCGTCTCATTGTGAAATTATTCAAGTAGAGAAAACATTTCGGGGAAAAAACCAACAAGGCTGTGTGTGTGTTTGCTGAAATAGTTTTTCTGGGTCACGGGAACTGGGTCACTACGCAGAAAAATCAATTGCGCACTTTTCTTCAACTTTCCACACAACTAAAAGTAATTTTTCTTTCACCCCCAGCCAACATGCAAATTTTCGTGAAAACCCTGACTGGCAAGACCATCACTTTGGAGGTTGAGCCTTCCGATACCATCGAGAATGTTAAGGCCAAGATCCAGGACAAGGAGGGCATTCCCCCAGACCAGCAGCGTCTGATCTTCGCCGGAAAGCAGTTGGAGGATGGACGCACTTTGTCCGACTACAACATCCAGAAGGAGTCCACCCTCCACTTGGTGCTCCGTCTCCGTGGAGGTATGCAGATCTTCGTGAAGACCCTGACTGGCAAGACCATCACCCTTGAGGTCGAGCCATCCGATACCATCGAGAACGTGAAGGCCAAGATCCAGGACAAGGAGGGCATTCCCCCAGACCAGCAGCGTCTGATCTTCGCTGGCAAGCAGTTGGAGGATGGACGCACCCTGTCGGACTACAACATCCAGAAGGAGTCCACCCTCCACTTGGTGCTTCGTCTCCGCGGTGGCATGCAGATCTTCGTGAAGACCCTGACTGGCAAGACCATCACCCTTGAGGTTGAGCCATCCGATACCATCGAGAACGTGAAGGCCAAGATCCAGGACAAGGAGGGCATTCCCCCAGACCAGCAGCGTCTGATCTTCGCTGGCAAGCAGTTGGAGGATGGACGCACCCTGTCGGACTACAACATCCAGAAGGAGTCCACCCTTCACTTGGTGCTCCGTCTCCGTGGAGGTATGCAGATCTTCGTGAAGACCCTGACTGGCAAGACCATCACTTTGGAGGTTGAGCCTTCCGATACCATCGAGAATGTTAAGGCCAAGATCCAGGACAAGGAGGGCATTCCCCCAGACCAGCAGCGTCTGATCTTCGCCGGAAAGCAGTTGGAGGATGGACGCACTTTGTCCGACTACAACATCCAGAAGGAGTCCACCCTCCACTTGGTGCTCCGTCTCCGTGGAGGTATGCAGATCTTCGTGAAGACCCTGACTGGCAAGACCATCACCCTTGAGGTCGAGCCATCCGATACCATCGAGAACGTGAAGGCCAAGATCCAGGACAAGGAGGGCATTCCCCCAGACCAGCAGCGTTTGATCTTCGCCGGAAAGCAGTTGGAGGATGGACGCACCTTGTCCGACTACAACATCCAGAAGGAGTCCACTCTCCACTTGGTGCTCCGTCTCCGTGGAGGTATGCAGATCTTCGTGAAGACCCTGACTGGCAAGACCATCACCCTTGAGGTCGAGCCATCCGATACCATCGAGAACGTGAAGGCCAAGATCCAGGACAAGGAGGGCATTCCCCCAGACCAGCAGCGTTTGATCTTCGCCGGAAAGCAGTTGGAGGACGGACGCACCTTGTCCGACTACAACATCCAGAAGGAGTCCACCCTCCACTTGGTGCTCCGTCTCCGTGGAGGTATGCAGATCTTCGTGAAGACCCTGACTGGCAAGACCATCACTTTGGAGGTTGAGCCATCCGATACCATCGAGAACGTGAAGGCCAAGATCCAGGACAAGGAGGGCATTCCCCCAGACCAGCAGCGTTTGATCTTCGCCGGAAAGCAGTTGGAGGATGGACGCACCCTGTCGGACTACAACATCCAGAAGGAGTCCACCCTCCACTTGGTGCTTCGTCTCCGTGGAGGTATGCAGATCTTCGTGAAGACCCTGACTGGCAAGACCATCACTTTGGAGGTTGAGCCTTCCGATACCATCGAGAACGTGAAGGCCAAGATCCAGGACAAGGAGGGCATTCCCCCAGACCAGCAGCGTTTGATCTTCGCCGGAAAGCAGTTGGAGGACGGACGCACTTTGTCCGACTACAATATCCAGAAGGAGTCTACTTTGCATTTGGTCCTGCGTCTGCGTGGTGGCGCTCTCTAGATTTTCTCACCATTATTATTATCTCATAAATATGATCTTGCCAAGGCATAACACAAGTATTCATGCAAAATTTTAGTTAATCAGCTTTGAAAAGAGGCATTCAGTATAATCTCAACATATATTGCTATTCGATAAATAAATTTTTAATTTGTGTGTTCTAAAGTAATACGATTTTTGGTTTTTATGGGAATGGTTTTGATGCGAATTTTGTTGTGTAATTTTCAACAATTCAGCAGAGGAAGGTCTGGACTATCAGATAATAACTATGCAAACATTAAAGCGACTGTTTGAGGATTTCGGAGATCTTAGCGTTCATACGGGCAGACGAACTTGTCTAAATTAACTCGACTAGTGATTCTAATCAAGAATAAGCATACTTATCTATATGTAAATATACCAGGGTCGGAAAAGCTTTCTTTTACCTGCTGCATACTTTCGGATGAATACAATATACCCTTTTACTCTACGAGTAAAGGGTATAACAAGTTTTTCTAGTATGGGTAGAAAAAATATACAACATTTTACTTGTTTGTTAATTTTGTTAACCATTTATTTTATTAATAACCATATCACTAGAGTGCATATTCAGCTCCTAACTTTCCTATTGGGTAATGAAGTCGATCATCTCCAGTAGGATTCCTCGGTTTCCTTGTCGATAATTTAAAACCAAGCACGTCTTTGAGTTGATTAATATTCCCATCAAGTCTTGGGAGTTGTTGGATCCTTTGGCAAAAGCATTCGCCTGAGTCAGGCACTTCAGATCCTGATCGAGTGGCTCACTAGGCGGGCAAATGGGCAAAGGTGCCGAAAAGAGTATCGAGTGCATCCACAGGATACACCCGATCCCCTTATCGAGGCCTTGCCCACTTGGTATACCGAATGCCCAAATGGAACTGGCCCAACTCCCCCTGTTGAACGGGGAAGTGGATAAACCCAAGATTTGCCTTCAAATATTCCTTCTGGCCAAATGAGTTTAGTGCAGTGAGCGACTGGCCAGAATATATCTTTAGAAAAGATCCCCAGAAGAAATGGACTATACAGTTGGGATGGAGGCCGGGATGGAAGGAAAACCATCTGGTCGCCAAGATTTCGATAGCAGGTTGGGCAGAAAAGGTTCTGGATACACCAGTTTACAAAAAAAAAATTGATGAAATACGCCTTTCAGGAAACCTTTGTTTTCCGGTAAGATACATCTCCCTGTTTAAGAAAAGGGCACTTAAAATTTTTTCTATGGTACCAACTTTTTTTTTAAGTGTAAAAAACGTTTTTCGAACTTTTTTATTTTCTAACTCGAGTTGTGATAAACCGAAATCGGTCATTAAAGACTCATTTTACAGGTAATAGAATGCCCTTTAACTTTCTTATACACATCATTAAGTTCCATTCATTAGTTTAAAAGCTACACTTCGTCAAAGTTGAAAAATTTTGAAAAAAATCAAAAACGCTGGCATAAATGGCTTCTTTAAAAATACACGCGTAAAAACCGAAATTAGTTTTATGTTGTTTTCTTGAAGGCTGAACCATAACGGAGAATATGCGCCATCGATCACGACAATCCGTTGGTAAATCGATTTTTAACAGATTTTTAAACGTATATACCCAAGTTCAGTATTCGGGAGCAGCGGCCGTTAAACGTAATTTTAAATTTTCAGTGTTGGGGAACGTAAGAATTTGGTGCAAGTTGTTATGCATAACGTCAGTTTCCTTGCTATTAGCGCTGGGCAAGCTAAAAAGTATGCGATTGCAGTTACGAGGAAATCATTTTCATATATTTTTAGCAAGGAAACTGACGTTATGCATAACAACTTGCACCAAGTTCTTACGTTCCCCAACACTGAAAAATTAAAATAACGTTTAACGGCCGCTGCTCCCGAATACTGAACTTGGGTATATACGTTTAAAAATCTGTTAAAAATCGATTTACCAACGGATTGTCGTGATCGATGGCGCATATTCTCCGTTATGGTTCAGCCTTCAAGAAAACAACATAAAACTAATTTCGGTTTTTACGCGTGTATTTTTAAAGAAGCCATTTATGCCAGCGTTTTTGATTTTTTTCAAATTTTTTCAACTTTGACGAAGTGTAGCTTTTGAACTAATGAATGGAACTTAATGATGTGTATAAGAAAGTTAAAGGGCATTCTATTACCTGTAAAATGAGTCTTTAATGACCGAATTCGGTTTATCACAACTCGAGTTAGAAAATAAAAAAGTTCGAAAAACGTTTTTTACACTTTAAAAAAAATTGGTACCATAGAAAAAATTTTAAGTGCTCTTTTCCTAATCAGGGAGATGTATCTTACCGGAAAACAAAGGTTTCCTGAAAGGCGTATTTCATCAATTTTTTTTTGTAAACTGGTCTAACTTGTTGAGCCCGCTTAATCGCGACCTGGGGTTCTTGGCCCACATTGATCCTTACGGCCCTTATGGTAGGTATTGGTGGCGTATATTCAGAGCCATTTCTGCTCATATGGGAAGACCAGACGGTTGTTCCTTCATCTCGGGCCACATCCCAATTGCCTCATCGATTTTCCTGGTATATCTTTTAAAAGATATATTTTGGCCAACGCCTCACGGCACTTGACTCATTGGCAAGAGGGAAAATTCGAGGGCAAATCTTGGGTTTTTCCACTCACTCATTCCTTAGGTGAATTTGGGGCAGAACGTAGCCTCCATGTGCGAAACTCAGTTTAGATAGTCAATCCTGACGAACTTGTAGGTCGGTGAATCTTATGGCATTTTCAGCCAAAGTCAAGACCATTTGGCGACCTCCAATAAATAGGCCGCATTGGGGAGATTAATGCTCTCCCCATAAAGATGTGCGGCGATTTGATCCAGTTTCAGTTTCTGACATGGTCATGAAATCCAGAATCCATAATCATATTATCCCATCCTGGGAAAACAATGTGCTTTTCCCAACGCAAACATCAGCGGGTCCTCATCAGGACACTCTTGAAGTAGCCCGGGATGCTATGTCATCCCGATAATTGAAGGCCAATGATAAGCTAAGCTAAGGAATATAAAAATATATTATTAGCGATATGGCTTTACATATAAGTTAGAAATAAGGAAAAGGACAACTCACCCTCAAGTCAGGATCCTCATGAAGAGGCGGCAATGTCGTATAGAATGGATGCGACTACGGCCAAATGAACTCGAACCGAAGCTTGCAGACTTTTCCTCCTCCTCTGGGTGGCGGTATATTTGAAGAAGTACCACTCCGGATACTACAGATCCGAAAATAGGTCCGCCCCGCCAGTTCAATCAGCTCGTCGTCCTCCTCCGCCAGCAGAAACTTCTCAACATCGTTGGTATTCATCGTTGGTATTTTCAGTTCAGTAGAGCTTATCGGGGGTTTCAGCTGATCCTGAATGCGTTTCTTCATCTCAGAAAGGGCCTACAAAATATCGCCTTCGCTGGGATTTCGAGTTCCGTTCCGAATGATGTACCGGATTCGGGTCGGATAGCAACCCTGACGGGCGAAACGGGTAAGAGCAATAAATTAGATCAGGTCTTTCCGCAGCCATGTAAAAGATTGAACAGTGGACCCCTAAATATATTTTTATTCAATAGGTGCAACTGTAACTCAAAAACTCACCGGTTTTTTATTGAAAGTGTTTGTAAAATTTTCTCAAATTTAGGAAAAAAAATTTGCTTGGGCAAGAGAACCCTTTTCGTTCGCACCGAGTTGACGACTGAATATTTTTACTAAATGTTCTTTGACAAGAAACACTAGTACGGATACCGTTTTAAAGGCCTACTAGGACATAAAAATATCGTTTAATTTTTTACCCCTGCACTATGGGGAATTTGACCGCATTTTCTGGCTAAAATTAGTTATTATGTATGATTTATATACATCCAGCGATATCACATCATGCCATAGGAATTATGATATTAACTTTGCTGTTTTTGAAGATAAATTAACATAACTTTGGAAATATCGATTAAATACGTTTTTAATACAATATTAAAAGGTTCGTACATATCGGATATACATATATATCCTAAGGTTCTCATAGAAGAAGCATGGGACAAAATTTATTATACATTTGTACAACTTTTTATTCAAGCTGTAATATAACTTTCGTTTTACAGCCTCTAAAGTTCACTTACGGAGACCGATTTAAAGATTAAAATAAAAATTTTCACCAAGTTAAAGGTAGTGTAGTACTTAAGTATAGTAACTAGGTACTCATGTAAGACATTCAACTATTCAAAAAGGCCGAACATTTCATACTTTTCTATTTGATACCCCAATGTATTAACAAAATATTTTGTTATTCATTACTTGTAAAATAGGTACATTAGAATTTATTACTATTAATTATATGCGGTACTTTAACTGGAATATGGGCTTATTTAGTGCATTTGGCGGGACCTGCTGGCAGATTGGAACGGTCACACTTAAAGGTCGAGCATTTTATTAGGAGTACAACAGGTTCGCAGTTTCTTTTTGGAGAGGAGAGCAGGAGTCAAGATGAGCAAGGAAATCTATTTGGCCACCGTGAAGCAGCACAACAAGGCCCAGGACCTGTGGATAGTCATCGACAACAAGGTGTACGATGTGACACAGTTCCGGCTCGAGGCAAGTTTCGACGCAGATTCGGACTTTTAGGGGGCGATTACATCCCATGAAATTCCACAAAACCCATCCATTGCAGCATCCCGGTGGCGAGGACACCCTGGTGGATGCGGCCGGTCGCGATGCCACCAAGGACTTCAACGATGTGGGTCACAGCTCGGAGGCGAGGTCAGAAAGTCCATTAGTTCATCTAGTTAGCCGAGCTTTCTCAAAGTTTTTCATTGTCTTTCAGGGAAATGCTCAAGAAGTACTACATTGGCGACCTGGCCGCTGCCGATATCCAGAAGAAAAGTCCAATTAGGTGAGAATCCCGTCCTGCTTTAGGGTCACCAGAAGGTAGAACCGCATGTAAACACTACAGACCACCACCTCAACCATCTGTAAATAAAGAATCCATGGCGATTTCCTTGCCCTGCTCTCCTCGCCCGGAATTGATCTCATTATCTCCGTAGAGAACCCGATTTCTTGATAAGACATTTCCTTATTCCTCTTAAATAACTCAACTTTTCGTAAGCATGACGTTTCTTTTTGACCAAAACCGGTTTCGCATGAGCATGGGCCTGGTCGTTCTGGCTTTAATCAATAGTCCATTAAGCATAAACCAAATAAGACAACTGTGATGTAATACATTAATTGCCTTGAAGCCCCCAAAGTGTTACGCTTCACGTGTCCTGAAAGTTTCCCTTTACTTTTAATATCCACTTTGCGTTTTGGTACAATCTTCCAGTAGTCAAAAGAAATTTGTATTCATTTTTGAATAGATAATGGTTCCATTACCATGGGAATTCTAGTAATGTAACTATTCCCTTTATAATATGGTTAATATTTATTTTAATAATATTTTTTTTCTACGTTGAAAGTAATGGCTTCATTAGTAAAAATAGACTGCATGTATAAAGAAGAAAACTTGACACCTTAAAGCAAATATCTAGGTATCGAAAACCGGTTGACCTAAAAATCATATTGAATATTTATTACACTTCTTAAATATTGCTTGTATAATATTTGTATATCATAACAAATCGCCTACTTTTTCCAAGTTTTAAGTCTTTCTCAAGCACGAAAATAAGGTTCTACAAAAGCTAGTTGGATTCGTAAGTCCTGACTGACCTGTAAATATCTATGTCTATACTATGTATATATTTAACCAAAGCACGCAAAACACCCGGAACTAAACCTGCTATTCTGGAAAACAAACCATGCACGCTGTATATTTGCACCGTTTTTAAATAGTTTCTTTGAATTGACTTTTTATTTTGATTCTTGGTTTTGTGCAACGCCTACTATAGTGCCACGCCCACTGAAGCGAGCAATGAACCCGCCGCCGCCCCCAAGCAATGCTGCATCTTAAATTAACCCCTCTAAATCCGCAAAACCCGCTAATTAACCAAAGTGTCCTTAGTTTGGTCGATGGAACCTTGTGGCAATGTCTTTCGTCTTTCTGGCCTGATCTCAATGATTTTCACCCTTTTATGTATATATTTTCATTCCAAATAGCTGCCGTCATATTGCATTGGCCCTGGGCGCCGCCTTCATTGGGATCACTCTGGTCTATGTGATTCGACGCGGAGTGGCCAGGAATTAATCTGCGGCCAGGGGACCTGAAAACCAGCTTCATTCCGTGATTCCAGAGATATTTTTCCAACACAGAAATCATTTTCCAAACATTTGATACGAAATAAACTGTACAAATTGCTAAAATAAACGATTCTGGCATTTTATTTAGAATGGAAAAAGGTTCATTAAAAAAAAAAATCCATTAAAACAAAAAAATATTTCATAAAACTAAAGTTTAAACAATTAATACTTTGATCTCAAGGTTTAGTTCAGATTTGAGAAACTTTTTTCGGAATAAAACGCGAATTCTTTAGCTTACTGTATATGACTTAAAATAATAATTCCAATGGCTTGGCATTATTAAATCCCCGAAAGTAAGAACAACTCGCATTTCTGGTCAGAAAAAATTCAAATTTATTTTTCGTCCTTCCGTCGTCACAAACCTGATTGCTCCTCCCTCCATCCTAGCTCATCCTCCGGGTCCCGCCGAGCCGTTTTCGTACCTCGGATTATGACTAAACCGACGCCAACGGCAGGCGCCCCACAATCTCCGATTATACATATGTAGGTGTATATATATATATATTTATATATATAGATGTGTGAACCGCGAATCAGTTATAGACTTGCTTCTTAAACGTAAATATCGTTGAGGATCCATGCGAAATCGCACTCCAACTTTCTAAGATTAATGCAACCGCTTATCCGCCAGCTGCGCAATGTTTTCTTCCTTTCTGTTCTATTATTATTGTAGGCTGTTCTGTTCTGTTCTGTTCTCGTTTTCGTAGTTTAGTTAATGTGTTTAGAATAGGGTTTTGTTTTTTGTAGTTTGTGGTGGTTTAGTCCGCCGCCCTAGTTCTCGTCGTACAGGGGCGTGGCGTCGCCCAGATTCATCGAGTGGGGTGAGGTGTTGGTGCGCGGAGTGCTGCGCACGGATGACTTCGAGGACATGGAAGCGCCGGGTCCGTGGCCTTGGTTCATGCCCATGCCCATGCCACGACTGTGTCCACCGCCACCTCCTCCTCCGCTGCTACTGTATTCATTGCCAGGCGTGGATCCATAGCCACCTCCTCCGGGTCCCAGGCCCATTCCCATGCCCATGCCCATGTTCATCCCCATTCCCATCTGCTGTTGCTGCTGCGGATGATGATGCTGCTGCTGGCCATGATGCGACTGTTGCTGCTGCTGCGGCGGTGGCCTACGTCTGGCCCAGGCATCGTTGGCCAGCTGCCAGTCGAGGTTCTCTTTGGCACGTTGCTGGTGATGTGGCGGCATGTTGCCACCGCCCATGTTGTAGGCATTGGAACCGCCGCCTCCGCCACCTCCTCCCATGTCGTAATACCTGGGCGTGCTGCCCGTGCCGGAACTGCTGCTGTAGTGATGCCGCTGACTGCTCGAGGATTGTGAACTAGGACTCGGCACATTGTGGCCGTAGCGTGGCGTCTGCGAGGCATGCGGCGTGTAGGGCGTCATGAATGGCGTCTGACCACTGGGCGTGTACGGAGTATTGATAATCGCTCCAAACGACGGCGTCGATGAGCTGCCGTAGTGCGAAGCAGCCGCTGCAGCCGCCGCCCCCGAACCGATGGATGAGGAGTTGTAGCCAACAATGGAATGCGATACGGAGTAGGCGCTGGAGCTGCCCCCGCCGCCGCCACCGGAACTACTGATGCCACTGCGTGGCGTTCCTCCTCCCACGCTGCCAGTTATGCTGTAGGGTGCCTGTGAGCCCAAAGAAGTGAGAGAGGATGAGGAGATCGTCGGTGGCGGACGCATCGAGTGCAGGGGCGTTGAGTTGGACGCCGACGAGCCAGTTGCCGGCGAGGCCGTGGGATCCAGCCAATGCTCCTTGAACCAGCGCAACAGACTGTTGACCGAGTCAAAGATTTGGCCGCGAAAACGATAGCCCTCCGGCATCACTGTCACATACTCGTGCCGCACCTTCGTCTTGGGCAAATAGGACAGGAGGAACTTGCCCGGCATGCTGCGTGACGCCGTGAAGAAATAGTGAATCTTCTTTGGGTCCTTGGTCTTTTCGTCGCGCAGCACCTGCTCCATGAAATCCCGCTCATTACCATTTTCCTCCGTCGTGTTGGGTTTGTAGTACTTGTACTGTATCAGTTCGCGGGCTGCCAAAGCCATCGGGTTAATGTAACGGGCGATGATTTCATCCAGGTCCTCGAACTCCTCGGTGCCAATCCACAGACTCCTGCCAAGGCTGTACTCGTTCTCCTTGCCCTCCTCGCGCACATCGATGTGCTGGAAGATGTCGTCGGCCACCTTCCACGTGGCTGTCAGGTGATCCTTGGACTTGCTGCTCGGCCGCAGGGCCACTTCGCCCTGGTCAGCCCCCGCCAACATGGCCACCACCTCCGCATACGACTTGTTAAAGAAACTGGGATGTGCGATCGCACGACGGGCGTAGGTCTTGCGCTTCAGAGCCTTCGCCTTGGCGTCGCTGACCTTCCGGTTGTCCTGTTCCTCGGTCACAAAGTCATAGAAGTTGTCGCGCCTCGGTCGCCACTCGTTGTTCACATCCTTCAGATCGGCCGTCTTTGAGGAGCAGTCCACCGAGAAGCGATCAATGTCGATTTTAATGATGCGCACATGGATCATCTGGGAGACGCGAACTCGCTCCTCCGGATTGCGGACTTGCTTATCGGACAGATTCTTTATGTGTATGAAGCCCGGCAGGCCGTTCTCCAGACGCACACGCACTCCAGATGCCTGGCCGGGACAAGCATTCGCGTCAAAGTGATTCCACACCTCGGACAGCTCGGGAAAGTCGTCCTTGTGGCAGAAGGGACACTGCCAGCTGTCGCTTGACTCTATGCGCACCGGATTCGCGTTGTCCAGCTGCTCGCCCTGCGGCCGACGGTAGGTGAATCCGGTGACCATGGCCGTGACGCACTTTCCCACGTAGAAAGAGTCGGGCGTCTCCTTGGTCAGCATGTCGAAGAGCTCCTCCGCACTGGGCTTGGTATACGGAGAGCGGTAGTCCTTGTACAGGCAGCTCAACTCGTTCCGGATGTCGTACAGCGTGATGCTCTTGCTGCCGAAACCCTGACGCTCGAGCTCCACGGCGAAGGCATCCAGATCGAGATCCTTCAGGCGCTCTGGCGACTCCAGGATCTCTTCAAGAGCGCCGGCCGGATTGGTCTCCTCGTCGTCGTACTCCATGGCATCGATGGCCATTTTTCTGGCCCACTCGTATGTCTCCGGATGCACACGCGATCCGTCCAGCACCTCGACATACGCCTCCGTGCTGTCGCCCAACGATGAGGTATCGATCTTGATGAAACCGCTGCAGTTAATGAAGACCTTGGGCCCCAAATGGCACACAGTGACCAGCTGGGTGCGGTTCTCAAGCCGCTGGTTGCTCTGTTTGAGCAGTTTAAGTAAAGCCTGCCCCTTGCGCGGACCCAAGCCGCAGGTGTACTGCAGTAAGTTGACTGTCCGTGAGTTCTGCACCATCAGGTTGATGTCCAGGCCCACCTCGCTTGTTCGGTTTATAAACTGCAGACTGAGCTGCTCCAGCAGCTGTTCGCGCGGCACACGCTCCTGCAGCGGATGATAGCGCAGGCAGAGAATCTCGTCGTCCGCGTCGCACAGCTGCGAGTACTCCACCAGCGGATCCTGCATCTTGCGGGCCAATGAAACCGCCTGCTTCAGCAGTGCAGGGTACTCCTTGAAGTCAGACTCACCCTTCTTTGAATTGGCATAGATCTTGGCCAGCTCATTGTCGATTATCTCCACCTCGATGGGCGGAAACTGTTCGGATGATTCCAACTCCTGAAGTATCTCCTTGATGTCCGTCTGGATGTTCTGGGCGTCACGTGATTCCGCCCCAATGACAACAATGTGTGGCTTCTTCATTTTTATAAAGTCGCTCAGCTTTCGCAGGTCGGCCAACTTCTGGGCCTTCTCCTCGGCGTTGTGCGAATTCTTGCGCTTCAGTATATTTGGCAGTCGCAGGTAATCGGAGATGTCGCCCTCCACGGTGGTGACCGCACAGAAGGCGGCCACCGATTGGTCGGGATCATAGGCCAAGGCCAACACCCGAATACCCCTCAGCGTGCTCCACTCCTCGTAGCCGTAGTCGGTGGGCAGCTCCGGTTTGTAGGGTGCCACCTTCAGCCACTTGTATAACTTGCCAGTGCAGGAACGCAGCACAAACTGCTGCGCCTCCTCGTGCAGTGTGGAGCGCAGCTCCTTAATCAGATCCGGAATGACCCACTTCTGCAGCGCCAGTTTTACGCACTCCGCCCGCAGCGCATTCCATTCGAGGACGTGCTTGGAGAACTGATCCAGATGGTACAGGGCCTTCGACTCCTCCACATAGTCGCCCGGTGGCCCGTTGGCACTTGCGTTACCCTCGAACTCCTCGAGGAACGTAATCTCAAGCAGCTTCTCCTCCTCGGCCATCATCAGCTTGATGAATTGGTCGCCAAAGAGATCGCCCACCGGTTTCTTAGCCACGTACTTCATCGAGTACACCGGCGAATTCTCGTCGATTAGGACCATGCCATTCTTGGTGGGCCGTATATTGATTCGGGCTCTGTCGAAGTAAACCTCACGCATGGTTTTGCGCAGCAGTGGCTCCTGGGCCAGCTGGCGGGCCACTACGTATTTGGCCGCGTGGATCACCTCATCGGTGGTCATGAAGCGCGGCGACAGATATTGCTTGGCCAGTTCAGTGGGACCAAGGCTTTCCTGAGTGACCTCGTTACGCTGGTAATTGTCGCGCAGGTTCTCGGCAAACTGCTCCGGAGTGAGACCAAAGTGCTTGGCAAAGCCGCAGATGCCCGCCTTGCGGAACACCGCATAGGGACTGCTGTTGGGCGCCTGCTTCAACTGGTCGTCGATCAGCTCCGGATCGTCATCGTCCTCCGGCTCTGGGATCACTATCGCCGCTCCCTCGGCCGCATCGTCACCATTCTCGGCGGCTGCCGCCTGGCGACGAGCCTTGGCCTCGCGCCGCTCCTGGATCACCTTGCGCCGCTGCTCTGCCTGCATGCGCGGCAGCTCGTGCGAGTAGTTGAGCAGAAAGTACATGTGGACGTCTTTTAGCTCCTCCATGGACTGCACGTCGGCCAGGCGCTCGAAATCGCTGTCCAGCATCAGGCGCACGTCGTCCGGAATGGGCTT